ATTCTCAATACTCTTCTCCAGCACCACAGCTCAAAGGCATCAATTCTCCTTCTATCCTCCTTGGTCATTGTCCAACTCTCTGATGCATAACAGGTCATTGCGAAGACCATGGCCTGTATCAGACGCACCTTAGTCTCCAAAGAGACACCATTGCTCTTCAGCACTTTGGAGAGGTCCCTAATAGCCCTTGCCAAACTATTAAACTTGCTATTTGTCATCAGCAATTAGCCTCTCCGCATCTTCATCTCAACCTGGTGCCTCCTTTTGGCGGAATTCTCCCGACATATCGGGGCTGGATCCCCGATACAGAGACATGAGGAGACCTGGTCATCGGAGGGATGAGTGCTGTGTTTAAGAGGGAAGGCTCTCCAGCCAGCTGTATGTGGGTCCAATTCCTGGGTCGCTGATGGACGATGTCATTTCAGACTAACTGTCAACATCTCTGAGCCTCGGCTTGCTTTTCACTCAGGAGGGGGCGACAAAGACTAAACGATACGGAGGATGCGAGACCCTCAGCGCGATGCCTAGTGCACTGTAAGCTCTCAGTGGAGGTCTCTTACGATGATGATGATGACAACGACGACCATGGTAGTGATGCAGGTATAATGAGGGTAAAGGTGGTTCAAGTAGTGAAAGTACAAGTGGTCATGAAGGAGGTGAAGACAAGACAATGGTGACTGAGGTGGTGGAGGTGATGGAGGTGATGGAGATGCAGAGGTCGTTGAGGTGGTGGTGAAGAGGTGATTATGATGGAGGTGAAGGGAAGACAATGGTGGTGGAGGTGATGGAGGAGCAGAGGTGGTTGAAGTGATTGTATAGAGGTGATCATGAAGGAGGTGAAGGTAAGACTATAGTAATACAATTGGTGGAGGTGATGGAGACACAGAGGTGGTGTGTAGAGGCGATAATGATGGAGGTGAAGGTAAGACTATAGCGACAGAGGTGGTGGAGGTGATGGAGGTGGTGGTGTAAAGGCAATCATGATGGAGGTGAAGGGAAGACAATGGTGGTAGAGATGGTGGAGGTGATGGAGGTGCAGAGGTGGTTGATGGTGTAGAGGTGATGATGATGGAGGTGAAGGGAAGACTATGGTGATAGAATTGGTGGAGGTGATGGAGGAGCAGAGGTGGTGGAGGTGGTGGAGGTGGTGGTGTAGAGGTGATCATGGTGGAGGTGAAGGGAAGACAGTGGTGATGGAGGTGATGGAGGTGCAGAGGTGGTTGATGGTGTAGAGGTGATGATGATGGAGGTGAAGGGAAGACTATGGTGATAGAATTGGTGGAGGTGGTGGAGGAGCAGAGGTGGTGGAAGTGGTGGAGGTGGTGGTGTAGAGGTGATCATGGTGGAGGTGAAGGGAAGACAGTGGTGATGGAGGTGCAGAGGTGGTTGATGGTGTAGAGGTGATGATGATGGAGGTGAAGGGAAGACTATGGTGACAGAATTGGTGGAGGTGATGGAGGAGCAGAGGTGGTGGAAGTGATGGTTTAGAGGTGATCATGGTGGAGGTGAAGGGAAGACAGTGGTGGTGGAGGTGATGGAGGTGGTAATGATGGTGATGATGGAGAGGGCAGATGTACTCAGGTGGCTGAGGTGCTAGCGGTGAAGCTGGTCAGGAGGGAGGTGGTGGTGGTAACAGAGGAGACAGAGCTGGTAAAGGCAATGATGGTGGGGGTGGGGGTGGAGAGGATGTTCAAATACTTCTGCTTCATTCATATTCTTCTGCTTCATGATGTGAGGGGCCACTGAGCCACATGTGAGGGGCCCCTGAACCACTCGTCTGGTGTGGGAGCTGAGAATTTATCCGAGGTGTATAGGAGAGAACACAGATGATCCAATGTGCAGAACAGACTGGGAACAGACAGCATCCTGCTAGATCACGTGCACTGCTGGTAACAGACTGCCTGCTTGTCTCCAGTCACATGGGTGTTTCTACACTGCAGAGTCTACATGAATTATAAAAGCCTTCCTCCACCCTTCCAGCAGCACGATTCCCTGAGTCAGGGGTCCACTGGGCATCTTGCAACCTGTCCACCATCCTCCCTTATCCTCAGCAAGGTTCGCCTGTTCTAGACCAGGTACCCAAAGAAGATGAGCATCGTGCTGGTCCCTTCTCGTACAAAGGTCCTCCTAATGAGGAGAGAGGGGTGTGTATGTGTGTGTGAGAGAGGAGAGAGGGGGGAAAGAGAAGGGAGAGAGGGGAGGGGAGGGGAGGAGAGAAGAGGAGAGGAGACAGAGACAGAGACAGAGACGGAGAGAGAGACCTCAGCCCCCAGGACCTGTGTCAGGTTTACTAGAGACGAAGCCACAGTACAAACAATACCCAAGCAAGCTGCCTGGAGATGAGCCACAGGATCTTAACCTCAAGCAACCAAAGAGACGCCCCAACAGTTGTGACACTTGTAAAGGAGCTGGTTCTGAGCGCAGAAAGAAAAGAAGCCAAGTGGTCCAAAGCTGATGGGCTTGATGTTTAAAACCCCAAAAGTTTAGACGCCAGGTCCACCCAGGTCATTTTATGGCTCTGAGAATTTCAGAAGCAAAACAAGGCAGAAAATTAAAGGGAGGGAGGGCGAACAATTGTTCCAAACGCTTCAGTTCTCTGAATCCCTTTCACCTCTCTATTCCCCATCAAGAGAGGTAACATGTGATGTGGTGCAGGAGGAAACTGGGGGACCACTAGTAACCACAGTGGGTAACAGCTAGACCCCTGTGCTGGGCAGGTGGCTCCCATTTCCCTGTGATGAGCTGTAACAAGCCTGTTTCTCCAGGTCACTAAACACGCCCCAACCAGAGATCCAATGTGCCCTGTGCTGTGAGAAGCTTAGAACCCCCGCGATCCCCTTCTCTCTTCCTCCCATCCAGATCCAGGAGAGGAAAAAGAGATGGAGCAAGAGACACGAAGCGTGGCTTCGGGACAGTCTCAGTTTCCTGCGGCATTTTCTTTTTCTGCCTTGCAGTTTCAGTTCTGGGTTTGGGGGGCTTTTTTCTTTTTTTATGTTTCTTTTTCAAGACATGGCTCTTTGGCCAATAAAAGTTCAACCTTTGCAGCAGACAAATTCATCCGTAGGTAATGTCACTTACTCCTAATACCAACAGATGGGCCATCCAGATAGTCAAGTTCCTCTTCCAGCCAAGAGGTACTTGGACGCTAACCCACTACCAAGCGGCTTCTCTCGTTAATCCAACTGTAGCCCCAGAGGGGGACAAGCTGGCACAGGGATGGAGCGGACAGAGCAGGGCTCGATCTGCATTAGAAAAGACGCTGAAAGGCGGATGGATCATACTCACAGGGCATCGGTGGACCAGCCAATACGCCTTCTCCTGGCAGGCCATGGCGTACCTGTCCGCTTTGTTCCTTTCCTTTCCAGCCCTGAAAAACCAAAAGTCCACATGAAGGCCAGTGATCCGTTGCCTCTTTTGGTAAGTGACAATCTCTTCTCTTATCACCATCTTTTCCAATACACCCTAAAAAATTATGGGTTTTCATACTAATAATAAAATGGCACACTTTAATGACACATCTAGGGAGCTCTGGTGGTTTAGTGGTAAGGAACAGTACTGCCAACCCAAAGGTACACAGTTCTAATCTGCTGGCTGCCCTAAAGGACAAAGACGAGCAATCTCCTCCCATGCTATTTACAGCCTCCAAAAACCCACCGGAGGGCCAGCCATGGGTCAATTTCAACTCGACAACAACTACAGCAATGCTACATTTAAGTTCCAGTGCTGCTTCTATCTATTTCTACACATATGAACTCATTTAACTTCCCAGAGGCCCTTCCTCACTTCACAAAGCAGGGAATGAAAGCAAAAAGAGGTGGAATCTTAGGGAGCTCTGGTGGCCTAATGGCAAGAAGCTGCACTGCAATCCCAGAGGTGCGCGGTTCAAATTCACCAGATGCTTTCCTGGAGAAAGAGGGGCAATCTCCTCCTGTACCAGTCAGATCTGATTTGATGGTACATACACACAAAAATAATAGTAGCCGTAGTAATAATAATAATAATAATAAAAGAGGTGGGATCTCACACTAAGTATAACACTGGACAAGGGGTGAAAGTGGTAGTGATGGCAGAGAAGGCAAGGCAGTGGACATGGTGGAGATGGTGGAGGCCAGTGGGTGTGGTGGAGATGGTGGGGGTCAGTGGGCATGGCTGAGATGGTGGAGGCTAGTGGATGTGGGTGGAGACGATGGGGATCAGTAGGCGGTGGGGTCAGTGGGCGTGGC